ACTTGATTTGCCCCTTGAGTTACTGGATGGGGCTCTTGTGCTGCTGTGTTGGCTACCATAGAATAGGAAGGAGCAGGAGCCGTGTTCTTGTATGCTGCTGAAGAAAGGATAGAGGAAGGGATAATGGGATGAAAGGATGTAAATGCACAGAGATTTTGTGAAGCCTGCAAATGCAGGGATGAGAGGAAAAATGAGATTATTTGGAAAAGTCAGACACAGAGGGAGCAGGCATGGGGGGTAATGTGACCTGGCCCCCACTAGGGGGGGCTGATGATGCAGGTTGTGGCCCTGGAGGCGGCAGAAGCCTGGTGACGTCATTGGAGACGACGCTGGCAGTTATTGGCTCTGGTGCCGCGGCTGGAAGTGTCGGAGGCTTGGAGATTGTTGCTGCCAGAGTTCTGATGGAAGCTGTGTAGAGATTGAGCAAAGTTGCTTTGTTGTCATTGCAGTGGAAGAGAATGCCGTTTCCCCTCAGGAATCATTGATGGCAGGCAACAGTCCGTTCTCTGATGCCAGGCTCTGTTTGTGGACGTGGAGACGGCTGCATTGAGGAGGAGCGCGTGCCGTGAGTGCGCTGTGGTGGATAGCCGGGGGCTGTACTGGAGAACGACTGCTGGTGTTGTCGGCGTCGGTGCCGGCTCCTTCAACTCTGTGGGTCATGATGTTCAGCCCTTGTGGAAGGAGGAGAGGAGCCTGGAGATCGATCGGGAGTTGGAGAGATCTTGTTTGACGACACTTGCTGGAGACGCCGGCTTGACCTCGGTATGGTTATCACTGAGCGTGGGTAGCACTGCTGAGAGGCTTGGCTGTGGTCTGCTTGTTCTGTCATGGCTGGAGTATAATCCGTTTTGAACAGATCATCATACAAATCGTCTTCTGATTCAGGTGGGTTGATTTGTAATTCAGGTAATTCAAATTTCAGGGTTGTCGAAGGTTGATAATGCGTTCAGACGTGAACAGACGTGGTCTGTGCTCGAGAGATTTGAGACAAACGGAGCAGGATGGGTTAACCAGGTATAAGTAGGCTTGACAGGTAATCAGGGGTGTGGTTAAGGCGTGGCCCTGCTCCCGATTGTAAGTTAACAAATTAACTTAATCTAAAAATGGTGGCTGAAAACAGAGGACAGGAGTCAGAAGAAGGTTGGAGGCTGGTGCTGATGCCTCTATATTGGACAGTGGTGTGGCTCACTGTGGACAGACCCTGATCTGGCTTTGCTGCCACCTTCAGCGCACGGTCAGCGCACCGCTGGGGGGCGGGGGGCAGAGAGCTTCACAGACCACAGCAGCAGCTCCTTCTCTGGCCAGGAGCAGAGCTTCACTGGGACAGCAATTTCCATCTGCAGTACCCTTTTTTGCACTGTAGCATGACAGAAATGTCATGTAGATGATGACTAAGGGAATAACATTACTACTGTCAAGGCATGGGGGGGCAATCGTACTTGGGCACGTTACAAATAAATTATGCCCAATATGAAATTGCCCCAAGGATATCTGGTGGATTTTCTCAGCAGACAGGGAGGCTTGGACTGAGGTGAGGCTTGGGGGAGTGGTAAAGGTGATGCAAAGGGACGGATGGGGTTGGATTGAGAAAATGAAGAAAACAGTGAAAGGGAGGAAAGACCAGGTATAATTAGGCTTGACAGGCTATTAAAGGCGTCATCTTGCTCCCAAACCTAAGCCAACTAGTTAACTTAACTTCCCTAGTAAGGACCGAATCATGACCACGCATATTAAAGGTTTAATAAGATGTGGAAGACCAAGATGTTAAAGAAGGATGAATGGGTTTGAAGAAGGGGATTAACGTGAGGGAGGAGGTTGTCCTTTTACACTAGTCTGGGATGGGCGCATGAAGGTTGAGGAGGAGAGGATAGACAACAATCTGTGAAAGAATAGCAATAAACATCTGGATAACAGTAGTGTAAATTCTGTCAGTATTCACACTTATTAAAGAATGCCATAGTTGCATTTAATGATGATATGTGATGAAGTGAATAAAATAAGATGAAAAAGGGAAGAAGAGAGAGACGGTAAAATACAAGAGGATCTGCCTGTAGAACATCCTGCAGAATTTGCATTAACTGGGACCACCCAGGGTGGCAAATTCTAGTTTGGGATTTTGAAAAAAATCTGTCTCTAGATGATATTTCACCATGACAGCCCTTCCCAAATGGTAACTTACAGTAGTCAGATGTAGTAGTAGTAGTAGTCAACCTTCAATTACATCAACCATTGATCCAAAGAATGAAAAAATATTGGTCACGTTATTTGAATAGACCATAATGACAAAAACAAATAAGTTTAACCTCTTTCATTCGCTTGTTTAAACAATAACCATCATCACAGACATCATACTGTCACACTAAATATCAATTCTCAAGTATTTGCATTTTGTTTATTCATCATCGTCATTATTATCATTTTAGTTCGCCAGTTTCACAACAACTTCTACATAAAGGTTTGTAGCTTCTACATTTTTATGCACTTTGGTTTGCTGGTAATGCTTAGCAGTCTGGAAGCATCTGTCCATCCATCCATCCATGCATCCATCCATCCATCCATCCATCCATCCATCCATCCATTTTCAGTGGGTTATCCTGTGTTGTGGGGGCAACAGGCTGAGCAAAGCACTCAGCAATTGCTGTCCAGCTCCTCGTGGGGAATTTCCTAGTGCTCCCAGGCCAGACAAGATATATATTCCCTCCAGCATGTTCTGACTCTGCCCTGGCCTCATACCAGTTGGATGTGCCTAGAACACCTCTAACCAGCCAAGAGAGCATCTTTATCAGATACCTGGAGCTGCAAGTCTGGAAGCTTACAGGTCATCATTTCCAGAAGGGCCACTGGTGCTGGGGCCCTTGCATCAGCATACCTGTAGAATAAGTGAAAGATATTTCTCATCGATTTCAGTGAGGAGCCAAATTGTCAAGAAATTTAAACTATTTTATTAGAGCAAGATGATGAACATTTATTTATTGTATTTATTATAAGCATACCTTTGTCATCAGATGTCATGCTGAACCACAACGGCATCTCTTTGCATTCTTGATGGATGTTTCCCAGTGTGCATCAAACACCTTTATCTGCCGACTGTTTTCTAGGTTAAGTACAAAACCAGCAATCTCTCCAAAAGTCTTATTGTCCCCTTTCAGTTTCTGAATAAAGCTCATTTCATCAATGATGCATGCAAAGTGTTCTCTCTTATCTTCAACTGCTGATGCTGATTTCTCTGCAAAGCAATGATCATATGTCCAAAGAGATCTCTAATTGTAGTCACATCATGGAACTTGGCTGTTTGTGACTGTTTCTCTAATAGAGACATGCTTCCCCTCCAGTCTGGTGAGCTTACAGCATTTCACTTGCTATGCCTGGTGATGCAGCAATTTCTGTGGAAATTACTGATGACATCATCCTAATCTGGACCATATAAAATTGTTTTTTAACTTATCTTGATATAAAGTAAAATTAAGAGAAATCCCTGCTATTTTAATGAAGGGTCTACAGAGAAGTCTTAAACAATAATTTTAGTATTTGAACTTGGTTGTGTAGTAATTCAGTTAGGACCACTTTTGTCAAACAAACTTTAGCAGGAAGCCCTGAATGAGATTTGCCTATGGGTTGCATAAAAAAGAATGATGTGATCTATCTGATGACTCCCTTCAGTCAATCAGCTGATCCATCAGTTAATTGGGGTGCTTGAGATCAACTGATGAAGCTGGGATTTGAGCTGAGGTTAATATTGTGTCCTGCCTGAACTAACACTGTGCTCAATTTGATTACATTTCCCATAGATTTTTCTCCATCCTATTCATTGCTTACATTCTTTGGTTTTAGTTTAACAGGTTAGCCTGGTGCTAACAGAACCATGTCCAGCAGCCTTAGGTTTTAAGAGGCTCCTGAAAGGTTGGGGCTGATGTAGTCCAGCACAACCTGCAACAATCATGGCTCTCAATCACAGCATTTGAGGGCAGATATTTTGTTAATACAGCATTTACTATTATTTGCTAAATATGTTGCAGTGGATTTAAATTACACAAGTACACTAAATGACAGAGTGGCCAGTAACTCTGCCTGACAGATGGGAGATTCAGGATCAATTCCCTAATTGAGCAAGTTTACTTTTCTACCAGATCCTGACAATTCACCAAGGAAGACAAAAGTTGTACAAAAGCAGCAGCTGTTATTGCATAACAAAATGAATGCAAGGTCAATGCTTCAACTCCAGATTGTTGCAGTGCTGTGTATTTGGGCTTCAGGATTTTTCAAGCAGTTCATTTCATATTTCTGCATTTCTAGCAATGATTTGAAACACATTTCAGCTGTCAGCATTAACACTGTATTTTCTGCAGGAAAGGCATTTTCTAGTTTCTAGTTTTATTTTTTTAAAATAATAATTATACTGTGAATGCCTTGTCAGCATTCACACTATTAACAATAGTGTACATGTTGTGTCAGCATTCACACTGATAATAATGTGAATGCTATGTTAGTGAATGCTGTGTCAGCATTCACACTAATAGAGAACAAAGAGAACAATAGTGTGAGAGCTGTTGACAGCTATCACACTAACGAACTGCACTTATTTATTTTTTTTAAGATATTTTTTGGGCATTTTTAGCCTTTAATGTATAGGACAGACAAGTGTGAAAGGGGGAGAGAGAGAGGGAGTGACATGCAGCAAAGGGCCACAGGCCGGAGTCGAGCCTGGGCTGCTGCGGCAACAGCCCTGCACATGGGGCGCCTGCTCTACCACTAAGCCACTGACGCCCCAACAAACTGCACTTATTTGTGGTGCAAATAAGTTCATATTTCCTATGAGACCAGGCTCCATGGCAATATTAAAAGGAACTTCCAAATGGAAATTGACCTTGCTGAACGGCTGATTCCTTGGAATCTTTAGATCCATTCACCACCTATTAGCGACACAGTAAAGCATGTACCATATACTGATATTACTATATATCCTAACTTCTTGTGTTTGTGTGACTTAATGACCCTGTTAGGGTGGAGGGATGTTTGACGCGCTGCATGAGTGGTTTTGGTGGGACAGAATCTGGCTGCCTGTGAACCTGACGTGGGCTGACCTTGAAGACAGGGAGGGCCGGGTCTATGCCAAAGCCTCACATCTCTATGTCACTGTCCCCTACGCAATTGTCTTCCTACTTATCCGATACCTGTTTGAAAGGTAAGATCCACATTATGCTCCTGATCTCCCATTTAGTTATACTGTACCAACAGCACATGACTCTCTTTTGAAGCATTAGACAGTCCAGTGATATTGAAACTATCGAGTATTGTGTGTGTATCAAAGCCAAGAATATCTTATTCCTCAGTGTCCATTGTTGTCGAAAAACTATTAAAAACACATCAATTAGCCACATTGCTGCATCTTCATGACATCAAAATGGCGCCACGGAAGGCTGTCTCTGTGTTTTGGTGCACATTGTTTTGCCTTGTTTTGTTTGTAAACCCTGTTTTTTTTGCGTCAGTTCCCGAATCTCTTTCACCAGAGATGAGCTTATGAACATCAGGGGAACTACTCCAGCTGATTTTTTTTAAAAAAAATTTCCCACTTTTCTTGAGCCTTTGGTGGATTTATTGGGCTTTTTGGCCAAAGGTGCCCATACCTTTGCTCGTGCAGTGAAACGCCAGAGTAGGGGGAAACGTGCCAGTGCGCTTGTGCGTCTCCACCAACACGGACACGGTACACCGCTGCCAGGTATATTTCTCTCCAGCGTGAGTTCGCTGGCCAACAACCTGGATGAACTTCAGCTACTGATGGTGAAAAACAGAGACTTTTCTACATCTGCAGTTTTGTGCTGTGTACGTGGCTGTGTAGATCGATACTGGACTCTGCGCTGCAGCTGGCAGGCTTCCCACTCTTCAGAGCGGATCGTGACACAGAACTTTCCGGTAAAACTAAAGGTGGAGGTATCTGTTTTTACACTAACAGTGGCTGGTGTAATGACGTGACAGTGATCCAACAGCACTGCTCTCCTGATCGGGAATCTTTCTTAATAATAATAATAATCATAATAATAATAATAATAATATATTTATACATTTTATTTATATAGCGCTTTTACAGCTCTCAAAGACGCTTTACATTCAAACAAAGAAAAGAAGTACATCTGTTCTGAGATAAACAGAAGACAAGGACGATAAACAACAACAAGGTGTAAAAACATAGAGCAAAACATAGAAAAAAGAAAAAAAGGGGGGGGGGGGGGACATGAGAAACAGAGAACGAAAAGCTAATGTTTAAAGGTTAAAAGCAGATTTGAAAAGGGGGGTTTTAAGGAGTGATATGAAGGTGGATGGATTTGGACAGTCACGGATGTGTATAGGGAGGGTGTTCCAGAGGGAGTGGGCGGCTATGGAGAAGGCTCTGTTGCCCCAGGTTCGGTGCTTGGTCCTGTGTGGAGGCGAGAGGAGGTTTTTGTCGGATGATCGAAGGTTGCGGGAGGGAGTGTGGTGGTGGAGCATGTCTGTGAGGTAGGAGGGGGCCTGGCTATGGAGGGCTTTGTGGGTGAGGAGGAGGATCTTGAAGTTGATTCTGTACAGGACAGGGAGCCAGTGTAGGTTTTGTAGGACAGGGGTTATATGTTCACGGGAGCGGGTGTGGGTGAGGAGGCAGGCAGCAGAGTTCTGGATGTACTGGAGTTTGTTGAGGACTTTGGATGATGAGCCATAGCGGACGCTGTTGCAGTAGTCGAGCCTTGAGGTGATGAAAGCATGAATGAGAGTTTCAGCGGCAGAGAAGGAGAGTAATGGACGGAGACGGGCAATATTTCTGAGGTGAAAGAAGACAGTTTGGGCGAAGCGGCTGATGTGATGCTCAAATGAGAGGTTATTGTCGAAGATGATACCAAGGTTGCGGATGAATGGGGAGGGAGAGAGGGTGGTGTTGTCGATGCTGAGGGTGAAGCTTTGTGTTGATGTAGAGAGGGATTTTGGGCCGAATATTATTTCAGATTTGTCACAGTTCAGTTTGAGGAAGTTGGTTTGCAGCCATGATTGGAGTTCAGTCAGACAGTTGGTGAGGGTAGAGCGGGTGGCCGGGGTGATGGATTTTATGGAGATGTAGATTTGGATGTCGTCAGCGTAGCAGTGGAAATGGAGACCATGACGACAAATGATAGAACCAAGTAGATGATGAAGAGGAGAGGACCAAGCACCGAGCCCTGAGGGACACCTTGAAGCAGGGGGATGGTGGAGGAGATGCAGTTGTTGACATGGATGAACTGATGTCTGTCGGTGAGGTATGATTTGAGCCAGGAGAGAGCAGAGCCAGTGATGTTGAGGGAAGTTTGTAGGCGGGATAGCAGAGTGGTGTGGTTGATGGTGTCAAAGGCAGCAGTGAGGTCAAGGAGGATGAGTATGCTGAGGCCAGAGTCGGCAGAGAGGAGGAGGTCATTAGTGATTTTGAGGAGAACGGTTTCGGTACTGTGTTGAGGGCGGAATCTGAATTGAAATGGTTCATATAGTTCATGAGAGCGGAGGTGGGTCTTGATTTGGAAGGCGACAACACGTTCCAGAATTTTTGACAGAAAGGGAAGGTTCGAGATGGGACAGAAATTTGAGATGACGTCAGGGTCCAGGCCGGGTTTTTTGAGGATGGGGGTGACAGCGGCCAGTTTCAGGGATAGAGGGACAGAGCAAGAGGTTAGGGAGGAGTTAATGATGGTAGTGATGAGTGGGGAGATTGTTGGGAGGCAGACTTTGATGATGGAGGATGGTATGGGGTCCAGGACGGAGGTGGAGCTCTTCATCTTGGAGATGATGGGGAGGAGTTCCAGGGGGGAGTTGAGTGTAAATGGTTTCGATCTTTGATTGAAAAAATGCCAGAAAGGAGTTGCATTTGTCAGTTATGATGGAGGAGAGGGTGTTGTCGCAGGGTTTGAGAAGTTTATTGACGGTGGAAAAGAGAGTCTGGGGTTAATAGAAGCCAGAGTGAATGAGTTGTGAGTAGTAGTTGGACCGGGCGGCAGTGAGGGCGTCTTTGTAGTTTGAAAGGTGGTCCGTATAGGCATGGAAATGGACTGTTTTTTTTTTGTAAAGTCTTTTAAGCTGGCGCAAGGGTTTTCATGTGGCGGAGTTCCGGAGTGTACCAGGGAGATGAATAAGTGAATGAGACAGTTTTGGTTTTTAAGGGAGCCAGTTTTTCGAGGCAGAGGGACAGTATGTTGTTGTAGTGGGTGACCAGGTCAGAGGCGTTTGGGGTCAGCGGGGTGGTGGATGCGGACAGCGTGTTTGCCAGTGAGTCAGAGAAAGCTGAGGGAGTGATGGACTTCATATTTCTGAAGGATATATTGTGTGTGAGTTTTGGGGGAGGGAGTAGGGTCTTGAAGTCCGCAGTGATGGCCAGGTGATCCGAGATGGATTGATAGTACACCGAAAGTTACCATTGCTGCAATGCTATATGAATTTTTCAAGACTAGGCGCCCAGACCTTGAAAAAAATCACTATGAGACATGGTCCCTCCAAATTGGCACGATGGCCACATTTTGGTGGTCTAGGTTGTCCTCACATTTTTTTTCTATTTTAATTCAATTTTATATACTTATTAATCCCCAAGGCGAAATTAATTTTTTCCACTCTGTTGTCATGTACATATATACACAGAAACGAAATACACACACATGCACAAACAGGAACTATACATGCATTAAATGGAGAGATGTCAGAGTGAGGGGGCTGCTCGTGAACAGGCCTTGCATTAGAAAACTTCGGAAGTGCCCAGAAGGTGAACTGGCAACTCTCCAGCTACATGTCCACACTCCACATTTGATCTGAACTGGGACTTGAACCGGAAACCCCCTGGTTCCCAACCATGTCCCTATGGACTGAGCTACTGCCGCCTGGCTGAGTGTTCTCTGCTGACAGTGACATTGTTAGAATTGGACCCTGTGTTTGTTAACTGTGTTCCAGGTGGATAGCAACACCAGTTGCAGTCTCTGCTGGGATTAAGCACAGAGTTCATCTGAAAGCAGAGGACAACCCCATTCTGGAGCTTTACTACATTACTCAGTGTAGGAATCCTTCTCAGGTAAACAAAGTCCCACTTAAATATTAGCCCTGTATTGTGTCCCTGAGAGCAGCACGCTGAGACTTAAGAAAACACATGCAAATAGACAAAAGACAAGCAAATCAAGAAAACATCTTCGCTACTTTGACAACATGCGCAGCAGGTAGAAAAAACACTGCACATGGAAAAAACAACCAAATACAGAAATGCACAGCAAGTAGAATCACATGACAATGGAAACTGTTTCCAGAGGAAAGAAATTGGCACAAATACATCAGAAAGTATCTTATTACAAATTACAAGTACTTGCTAATCAAATGTATCAAAATAAAAATAATGGTAAGAGAAAATGTGTTTATTTAAAAAACAAGTAATTTGTAATTCGAAAATACACAAATACATTCTATGCAGACTGATATTATCAGATTTTGGGCATTGCCTCAATATCGGTATGACACTAAACTCCCTAGTTAGAAAAGATGAGCGCTTCTAATTTCCCAAATCACAGATTTAAAGTGGCCAGTCAGGATATCTTGGGGGGTGGCAGACTGCTGATTCAGGGATATATGCTGGGTGGTTTCTTTGAGTCAAATGACTCATTTCCACTGGATGGTTCAGCTCCCCTGGACTGGGCTCACATTTGGTATCAGGTCCTTTCTCTGTTTCATTTTTCACTGTGGATAGTACCCACAAAGTGTAGGCAGCCATCACCATACCCAGATAGCACAGATACATCTGGCCAACGTCGGCCCGATGTATCAAGTTTAGATCATTAAGACGTAGCAGGGAGAGTGTTTGCTCATTGCCAATACGTCGCTGAGACGTCGGCCTTTAATTGAAAATGACCACCACACGACGTTCAAACGATCAATAAAAGAAGCTGCGCTCAGTGGGCGCTCCTTCATTAATATTCATATGCTTCGTTAACTATGATCTTTATTCATTTAGGTCGGACCTTTCAAACTACAATTAGGTATTTCACCATCCAATGTGAGAAATCAATGCTAACATTCAAAAACAGCTGACTGTTACCCTATTTCGTATGTAAGTGTGCACAATGAAGAGACAAAAGTCAATTTGACAAACTTTATTTTCAAATTTCCACAAACAATAGCCTATCTGATGGCCAGTCCGCTTCTCCTGGCAGTCTGCAAGAGACAGAAAAGACAATGAGCACATAACTTTAAGAAATGAATCCCAACTTCACCACTGTATTTTTTAAGCATTTCAGCTGTCTTTTAGCCAGATTGACGCCTTTGGGTCCATCACTCTGCTTAATTTAGTGTTGAAACGGTTAAATAACGGGATCCGGCGTTAACTCCATTAACTGTTAACAGCAGCTCAACAATCGGTCCTTCATCTCGGAAAAACCGTGGTTTCAAAACTGCGCTATTACCTGTAGCCACCGGGGCGGTTTGCTTTGCAGAGGAGGAGACCTCGACTGATAAATTGTCCATAAAATCACATTAACAACATACCGAAGGCATCCTTAAACTAAACTATTTGACCTCCGCGCTCCTCTCCGCTCCTCTCACCCACACTTGAGCACCCGTTCTGGGATACACAGTGTCGGCCCGCCGGCCTGACCTCCGCGCTCCTCTCCACTCCTCTTACCCACACTTGAGCACTAGTTCTGGAATATACAGTGTCGGCCTGCCCGGCCTGACCTCCACGCTCCTCTCCATTCCTCTCACCCACACTTGAGCATCCGTCCAGGGCCGCGGAGGTCAGGTCGGGCGGGACCATAGGTGAATGGATCCCAAGTCTCGAGCCCCCTTTTCTTTAATGGACTTATTTACCCCTCACATTGTTGTTTATTTGTTTTTGTTTTGTTTTATTGTACAGATTTTTCTTTATAGAAGCTGATTCAACATCTTCAGTTGTAATATCACTAATTGTGCCTTAAATGTTTGTAAGGTGATGATACTTGAATAAAAAGGAAAAAAAAAAAAGTCTTGAGCCCTGCCCTGGACCACGGGTGGCAGCTCCGGGCACTTCCACTTTAACCCAGAACGAGTGCTCACGAACCAGATGAGCAGATAACGTCAACTAGGGAAAATAAAATGAAAACACCACAGTTGTGGCCTGTTAGCTAACATGAGCTAAACTAACGTTAGCTATCAGCTAACGAAAGATAACGTTAGCTGGTGGGGACATGTGCTATACACCCAGTTGTGCCTTGCCACTCACCGAGACCCACTTTTAACGGTCACAGAATAAACAACATAGCTATTTTCTGCCAATTTATTCCAATTAGCTTACCTGAAACCAACTGCGATGAGATGCTGTGTGCTGCGAGCTTAGTTCCAAACAAAGACCGCAGAGATGAAATTCTGCCTTCTATGGCGACTTCCGTATGTGGGCAGGTATATTCTACGGCACTGGGCTGACCCAAAGCCGACGTAACAGAGACGTTTGATGAGCTGGGACAAAAGAGTATTAAATTTAAAGATATCTGCCCATGCGGCCAACGCTTGTTAGACATTATAACTTCAGGGCCGATGTGTCATCCTCAGGCCGATGTCGGCCAGATGTATGTGTGCTATCTGGGTAGTAATGTCACATGAATGTATCATGACATCATCTGTAACAATGTCTGTACTACATTAATTGTATGGTGTATTGTGCGTCGTAACGTACAGCGTAATGTATCGCATAGTGTTCAGTGTAGTTTTATGGGCTACCTTTTTTTTTTATCTTAAATTTTAGAAGTTGCTGTTGCTATTGACAATAGTTAAACTTTTTAAAAATGGTGGGTTTGTGCAGGATGTTCTGTGTTGGAATGTCCAGTGACGATTCTCTCTGACCAATCAGTGGTCTGTAGTGTTTTAACTCCACTTTCTAATCAGCTCAGCTTACTTGAAACCTTGACTGAAGTGGTACCAAAAAAAAAAAAAATCCCAGGTTCCAGATACCATCCACAATTTTTGTGCATGGAAAACCAAAAAAGAGTCAAGTTGGGGGGAGCTGGGCCGTACCATGCAATGGACATACAGCAAAAGCGCCCATTGACTGACTGAGTGAACAGCCAATTGAAATGCAAGTGAACAGTCAGACCACTGCGATGCACTAGTTCTTTCAGATGACAGAGAGGTGTGCTGTGAAGTGCATTCATCAACAATGTGACTTGTTAATGCATAAAATTACGTTAAACATTGTATTTGTAGGGGCGGCACGGTAGTGTGGTGGTTAGCAATCTCGCCTCACAGCAAGAGGGTTGCCGGTTCGATCCCGGGCGTGGGAGCCCTTCTGTGCGGAGTTTGTGTGTTCTCCCCGTGTCAGCGTGGGTTCTCTCCGGGCACTCCGGCTTCCTCCCACAGTCCAAAGACATGCAGATTGGGGACTAGGTTAATTGGTAACTCTAAATTGTCCATAGGTGTGAATGGTTGTTTGTCTCTATGTGTCAGCCCTACGATAGTCTGGCGACCTGTCCAGGGTGTACCCTGCCTCTTGCCCGATGTCAGCTGGGATAGGCTCCAGCCCCCCCGCGACCCTCAAGAGGATGAAGCGGTTAGAAGATGAATGAATTGTATTTGTATATTGTGTTTTTTAGCAGCCATTATGCTCTATGCAGTCTCTCTCTGGTTATTTACTTGTACCTGTTCCTTGAATTAACAAAAATATTTTGAAGGTAGATACCAAAGCTATAGAATGTATTTTAAAAACTCAACAGCCACATCACAGCACTTTTTTTAAAAAAAAAAAAAAAAATCAATGTCCTTGTTACTTAAGTTAATTTACAAATGTCTCTCTAGACTGCATACACTGACTTAGTGCAATTTTTTATACAAAGTGCAACCAGTGTGCATGTGCATGTGTGTGTGTTCATTCCCTTCCAGGCAGACATTGATGGGCTGTCTAAGAAAAGCAGTTTGTCAGTGAGACAGGTTGAACGCTGGTTCAGAAGAAGACGTTGTCAGGACCTTCCCGGAGTCCTGAAAAAGTTCAAAGAGGCCAGGTCACTACTCTGTGTGTGTGTGATGTTGATAATAATGTAGCACCTCCAGTAGCCATAGTTGATAAATGTCTCCCCTCTGCTTCCTACAGTTGGAGGTTTTTCTTCTACCTGTCTGCATTCATTGGAGGAATAGTAGCACTGTACGATGTAAGTAGCTAGTCGTATGTAGTATGATTGGAACATGAGTCCATCTCAGCCAGAAACAAAAGATTTTACTGTGCAAGTCAACTTAAGATAGCCATGGTTAAATGTTAAAGCTAGTAGCAGTATTGTGCATGTAGCTCTGTATCTTTAATTAAAATTATACTCATTTACATTTCAAATAAACTGTACAATGTAATAACATTTTATCCCCATGTTTTTGCAGAAAGAATGGTTTTATGACACTCGGAAAGTATGGACAGGTTTTCCAAAGCAGGTTTGTATACTTGTAAGACACCATAATCATCATATTAACATAATCATATATACATAACATTAATACATTAATATAAATCAGGTTTTCCAACTGCTTCAGTGAAATCTTTTGAATAGGTTAATTTACTGAATAATGTGGGCACCTATGAGGATAACGTGTGCTTCTGATCAGTCATCATTTTGAGGAATAACGGAACAAACTTGATGAGCCTTAGTTGTCCTTACTTAAACTTTACGGCATAAATCTAATGTCAGAGAAGATCATGGCCCAGCATGTATGTGTGGACACGAAATAACATGTGCACCATGTGCCACTGGCCACAAATAGGATTTTTTTTGCTGAAAACCTAGGTATTACTTTTGACTATCAGCTGTAATTTGATAAACCTATAAGATGTTTTTTCAGTAAATATGTCCTTCCAGCATTATCCAGCTGTTGTCCTTCCAGCAATTAAAAACAGTTATCCATGCTTTTGGATTTCAGTCTAAATATTGGCATGTAGATGTCTTCAGGCTGAGACTATTACCTAACATGTGAAATGTGGGGCAGATTGGACCATGGGTCCGTGTACTTTGCGGCCATTCATTATTCGTTTTGAAGTAGGTAAACAAAAAACGGGAAACAATCCTATTTTCCTTTTTTGTTTTGATGTAGGTAAACAAAAAACGGGAAACGAGTCATCTCCCATTTCTCGTTTGGAAATTGGAAATCGAAAAACGAGGCTTTATCTGATTTTCTATTATGCATTTATTAACCACAAGTAGGGAAATAAAATACGACCGTAATTCTTTTAATCAAACCAGTAATATCAACGGGGCAGCAATGCGCCGTAGTCTAGTCTGCCATTGCAAACAAAGAAGGAGAAGAATAAGAATAAGAATGGTTTCCGGGTTAAGGCAAAGCAAATTTGATTAAAAGAATTACGGTCGTACAAAATGGCTGACAGCAGAGAACTACAAGATGGCCAAATCAAAGCTGGCTTCAGATCAGGGGAGGTGTTGCAAAGGAACAGAAGCGGGAGTTTTGAGATGCCTGTTTGGGTGTAGCTCTAGGCCCATTTCCACTGAAGAAGTTCCTGGTACTATGTGGGGGGCAGGAACTACTACAGGAACGTCCTCTCGCTCGGCCCTCTCAACCGCTGTGTCTCCACTGAGAGAGCGGAGTAGGAGGAAGGTTCCTGTAAAGTTACGGGCTCTGGATGTGAAGTAATCGTTGCACGACCATTTACCGGGGCGACGTAGGGATGCTGTTAGCTGATAGCCCTTAGCGATGTCTGTAATAACTCACTAAATGGCCCGTGAAAAAAAAAAAATCCAGCGGATGTCTTAGTTACAACATGATTGAGCTATCTGGAGTAGTTTCATGTCGTATCCGACAACGGGAGGCTTTTAACAGATGACATCCTGATGTTAGCTTTGCTGCTGCTGTTAGCTGTCCCTGTCAGCTGCAGCCACTACTGATGCTTTCTAGACCTTGTGATTTCCCAAAACTGAATAAATACCACACATAGCAACACAAAACTGCTTTGCTAGCTCAATCATGTTGTAATTAAGATATCCGCTGGAAAGAATATTTTTTTCACGGGCCATTTAGTGAGTTTTTTTTACATGGCGGAGGAAGCTATATGAACGAGCTAATCCTCGTCTGCTGAGTTTTAAAAATGCTGGCTATTTTGTTGCTTTCTGTTGACATCACATCCCTCCTTGAGTATATCCAATCAGCACCAAGTAATCCCCAAGCCCCAGCCGGGAGTCTTTCGGGGCCGTTCTGAGTACCTACCCCGAGGCAGGGACTTATTTAGCCCCAGTAAAAGTTCCGGAACTCTGTCCTTCGGGGGTGGTTTCTGCGGTGGAGACACGCACCAACGGCCCCAACCCCGTAAAATTACCCCAAAGTTCCTGCGGTGGAAACGGGCCTTCTGTTGAAAGCCTATTTGTTGATGAGTCTGTGTAGATGTGATTTGTGTTGCAAATGGTCAGGATTCATGCAGAGATTGTTTAGTTGTGTGCAAGAATCTGTTTGTGAACAGTATTAGCAAACTAAACACTTAGCTTTGGCGAAGCCAAATAACCAATGACCTGACTGCAAACAATCACAACAATAACTCAATGACAGCATTAAATCACATACAACATGGCGAAACATGGACATCTGATGCCCAAATTACTTTTAATCTTGAAGGTCTTTAGATGGAACAGACAAAATTTTAAGATTATCAGATTAAATCTCTAGGAGGAGTTCATCAATGTATGAGCCCTCTTACTGACAAAAAATAAACAATGCATAGTTAATTCAGAATGTCTAGATATAGTCTTGGTATGTTACATGTGCCTTCCGATTTTCTTACATCTAGGTAGCCTTTTTGTCATACCTGAGCATGAGATTCACAAAATATCAAAGTTTTCACCACATCTAAAGCATGCGCAAAGTTACTGCAGATCATCTTTAGCTCTTAAAAATGCAATTTGTTTTGAGGAATAAAAAAAAAAGTTAAAGATCGATAGATGCACAGAACTTGGGCCCTAATTCCTTGCATTTAAATACAGTCCTCGTACTGGGTCCCAATGATAATTGCTTCAGTTTCAATGGGGTCTTTTCACCAGCCGGTGCTTGGGACCCAATAAACATACAGTAGCAATTTAAATAGGGACCTTGCCCCTGTCTGTCTCAACAGGTTTCTTGCATTTTTAGTTTCAGGGACTCTTGGGCCCTTGCACTGAAAGTGTACGCATGAGTTGGTCACGATTTCCCACATGGAACACATGGTGCTGGCGATGATGTTTGTAAGTGGGAAGAATATAAATCTGGCTTAAGTACTGGCTGCAGTTCCACGTGAAAGGCCCCTTCTTTACAAATACTATGACATAATTCATATTAAAATACTGTTATGGGATTAAATGATCCAGAACTCAACCAATTTTTGGTTATAGCTGCATAGCCTCTACCAGTCACACAGGGACGTACATCACCAGGGAAGGTTGTGTTGAGGAGAGCACAAAGGAGCTGATCAGTGGGTACAGCTCCAGAGAAAGCAGGTCCCTTCTGCTGTGTGAGTGGCTCAATGTATTGTTCTTCATTTTACCATGTATATTTACATACATTTTTGGCTAGACTGCGACAGCAGGTCTAGTCTTATTAGTGCTAGAGCAAAAATCCATGACTGAGTGAACACCACCACTTTCTGTTTCAAATTAAACGCCCTCATTTCAAAATAAATTGGTCAAATGCTGTTTGCTATTTCCTGTTCTAATTTACCTTTGTGTTATTAGCCTTTAAAGATCCACTATCAGTTGACTTTCCTGATTCACTGTAGCTGTCTCTGTTTGTGTCTCTACTTTATCTGCAGTCCATGCTGACGTCACAGTACTGGTATTATATCTTGGAGATGAGCTTTTATGGCTCTCTGCTCTTAAGCGTTGCCTTTGATGTCAAGAGAAAGGTGAGCAGTCATTGTTGAATGCCAAAATGTCAACTTGGTTGAATCTCCTGCACCCTTGATGTTCTCAGTTTTGAAAGTATGTTCACATATGTGTCACTTAATATACTCCAAGTAGTATTCAGTATATATGCCATTAATTTCATACTGGGGAATATAAAAAACATTTTGACCTCAAGATAGTGCTAGGGGGACTCTAGCTTAGTAAGCGGGTAAAGCCTATGTGTGTTCTCCATGATAATTGGCTGATTTTATTTGTTTCCGCTTTTAGGACTTTAAGGAGCAAATCATCCACCACTTGGCTACACTGGTCCTCTTATCATTTTCGTGGTGTGTCAACTACATTCGTATAGGAACACTGGTCATGATTGTCCATGATGCCTCTGATGTTTTACTGGAGGTTAGTTACAGCCACACAAGTTTAAACAGCCCTATCACCTGTTGATACTGGATGACTATGCACACACAATGGGTCTCATTCATGACTTGTTAGTAAATCTGTGAGTAGATTTGCATATAAAAATCTTGGTACTAAAACCTAGACCAGATTCATTAACTTTGCGAGTAACTTGGATTTGATCTTAGCCACGTGTGTATGTTCATGAATTTCAATCAATCATAAATTGACAGCTAGTTAGAAATTAGCATATAAACCTGCACATGAATAGCCAGTGATCACCATATAAGGAGGTGATAATTACTATGGATAGGTGCATCCTGTCGACCTGCAGACATGGAGCAAACAAAGAAAGAGAGAGAAAGAAAAACTTTTGCGACACTGAAATTGAAGTTATTTTAGGTGAAGTGGGGTTGAGAAAAACATTTTGTTTTCTTCTGTTAGTAGTGGTGTGGCAGGGGCAGGTAAATCGAAGGCCTGGAAGGTAACAGATGCCATTAACTCTGTGTCCTCTGTTGGAAGAACTATCCAAGAAGTTAAACAAAAATGGTTCGATATGTATGCAAAAAAATGCACAAGTACATGCAATTAACAAAACAGCTACAGGAGGCTCTTTCCAGCCACAGCTCCCTGTTGCAGACGAGCGCATTACTTGCATCACCCGAGAGACCTCTCTGTTAGGGATTATGCCTGACAGAGACAGTAACATGCCTCCTCTGGAGCAGTCAACAGCAAACTCAGAAGGTAAGGTGATGTAGGTGTTATATCAAGTGTTAAATCACTATACAGTCTGACAGCCATCACTGATAGCTTAGTGATTGGTCAGTAACATGGGTCTCACAGTCCCACCAATCAAACAGAAGATTATTTGTGGAGTTCTCTATACTGATTGAATCAAGTGGGAACTGGATGCCAGTAATGTAGACAACACATGTATACAGTCAATTTAAATAACCCATTCACATTTCTAAGAAACCCAATCTGATGCTTAAATCTGCCAACTAATTTAGCTAAATGTGTTTTATTTGTTATCTTTTGTTATATTTAACTTACATGTTTGAAAGGCGCCTGCACATTGTGAACATAACAGAGCACAATACAAATTAAAATTTTAATTTCTGATAATGACAAGAAATATTTTGGTGCATTCCTTATCTACAAAAGCACTACAAGCAGTCAGAAGCAGGAGTAGATTTTGTTAGTACCGATGAAAAAATAGGAGCTACAAACAAATTGATGAATGCCGAAATACACATAAATTTCCTTCTACGAACAGGTAACACACAAATTTGTTCTGCTCCAATTCATTAATGAGACCCAGGATGTGCATGAAAACTGTAGTTACAGTTATATTATGTAATGGCAAATAAACTAAGTTTGGGCATCTTAAACACGTAGATAGATTGGTGAAAGAGGAAAAAATAAAATTAATCTTGTTAAACCATGGCCAAAGCGCTGGTGGCACTGGCAGAGTTGCTCTTGAGGGAGGCCAGGAGGGCAATCAGGAGAGCAACGTAGTTGAGGTCAGGTTGTGAGCTAGCCAAATGGCAACCTCCAGGGGTGAAAAATCAAGCCAACATGGAAGTGTCAAAAATCACAGTTGCCCTTTTTAACAGCCACTTGAGGCTGACTTCAGAAGCCAGTCAGTCCCCATAAACCCCCAGGTTAAAATGTCCAACTTTACAGCAGTCTGGCAATCTGGCAAGTGACTGGGAAAAGGGCTATATGTACAGACAGGAAGATGTGTAAGTCAGGTGACCAAGATGAGAAATCATCTGTCCATCATTTGATGGACATGATAGAAAATGGACAGTAATTCAGTTTCAACTTGCTTTTTGTTTTGAATTGTGGTTTATTAACAATATAATTTGTTTTTCTTTTAGTCTGCTAAATTATTCAACTACGCCAAATGGGAGAAAACCTGCAAAAGTCTTTTTGTTCTGTTTGCCATGGTGTTTATGATAACACGACTGATCATCTTTCCATTCTGGTAAGTTCATACATGAGGTGTGTGTGTGTGTGTGTGTGTTAGTCAAAGGTAGTTTGAAAACTGACACATTGGGAGGTTTGAATCTGTTGACACAGTTAAAATAGAGGTCCCGAAAAGAGCTTAAACGTGATGTACCAATGAGAAACAGGCAGGAACTGATGGAGGTCTGATCAGGTAATCAGAGTCACTTGTGTTTCTGTCTGAAAGTGATGAGTCATTGTTAGGTATAAGCGGACATAATACATTCAAGTGCTGCTTGAAAAAGACAATCAAACTCAAATTTGGATTACTGAAAATTATTTACTTCAAGCATCCTAAGACTTTGCTCAAGATGTAGACATGCCACTTGTGTGGATAAAATTAAAAATGACTGACAAATCACAATTGTAAAGGTCTACATATGTGTTTTTGCTCAAACCTTGATGAGGTAGAATAACATTACAGCTAGTGGATCAGGGAAGGTATCCCTTGTTGCTTTTTTACAAGAAAGTACAGAAGGAGATAATAAAGATTTGGACTTTAAAAGTGTTAGTGCTGAATCAGAATTCACACAATCAAAATTTGAAATGGTAATACTAACTATGTGGAATTTACCTTGGTTTATTATGAAACCAGTAACTGTAGTAACCCCAGTAAATACCTGTCTGAACTGTTTCAAATGCATTGATTTCAGATAAGTGGACTGAACAGAGTGTATATGAGAGGTGATCGTATTTGCTGAAGGAGCTCTCAGCCTAAAAAATGATAAAACTAAGACTTATAAGACTATAGATTTGAGTTTGGTTTGTCTTGTATCCAGAACCTCCTTTCGGGTCAACACCTAACCCATCCCAACCCCATCTGCTCACATAAATGTTCTACAGAATTTCATTTGCATCATAATATAATCTAGTTACACAGGACACAGGTCAGAATCCTGGATATTAGAAATTTTGACTTATTGTTTCTTCTCTGCTGTGTTTCAGGCTGATCCACTGTACCTGGGTCTACCCCATTCACCACTACCCTGCCTTCTTTGGCTACTACTTCTTCAATGTGATGCTGGTGATTCTTCTCTGTCTGCACATATTCTGGGCCTATCTCATTCTCTGCATGATCAGAAAATTCATGTTTGGCACTGTAAGTCTGCTCAGTAAGAACCATCTGTCATCCATCATTATTTCCAAATCTTTTTTCATGGGTATAAAATCCTTGCTTGGCAACAATATACAACACTCATTCAATGTGGCCTGGTAAAGCCAGACATCAGAAGGCTTATTTTAATTAGACTTTTTATTTTAGGCATGGCAGATCATAAACATAAAGCCTCCCACATGGGACTGGATAAACTCTCCATTTGCTGGGTTGGTCTTTGCTGTTGACCTTTAATCTAGACAAAATGATGTCTGTTTTATCTCACAAAGGTCCCCTACTGGGTAATACACTCTTCTAATCACAAGCATGCATTCAACCACTGAAATCTGCATAAATGTAGGAAGCCAATCAGGACTTGCCTACTCAAATAGGTGCAGACCTCACAGTATGGCAGTTCTTCTAAGACTTTATTTGTGGATTATGCTTTTGAGGATAGTAGAGAGCCTCTGGTTGTGGGCCTCAGAGCATCTATGATCTCTGAAGACTCTCTGCATTCCAGGACTGGAGAACAGGGGTGCCAAACTCAGGGAAAAACTCCCCAAAAAAAAAACCCTTTAACGGGGGAGAAAAACGATAGAAATCTCAGGAAGAGCAACTGAGGAGGGATCCCTCTTCCAGGACGGACAAACGTGCAATAGATGTCGTACAGAACAGATCAACATAATAAATTAACAGTAATCTGTATGACACAATGAGACAGAAAGAGAGACAGAGAGAGACAGAGACAGAGACAGAGAGAGAAAGAGAGATGCAGGACAGACGATCATGACAGTAGCCTACAACAACATTAATGAAAGTAATAATATTATAATTATAATTCTGGCTATTGTGGTACAATATGTTGAAAGTATATATATATTAATATCTGATAGTATACATATGTGACAATAATCATATGTGTATAATAACAGTAGAGGTATGACTAATGATAACAGCAGCAGCAGGAGGCATCTGGCAGGACCACGGCAGCAGCACAACCCCACACGTCACACTATCCAGGCACCGCTGCGATATGAGTTAACCTGCGAGACAGTGGAGCACAAAGGCTCCGGAGAAGAAGCCAAGTTAGTGACATGCAGTACATGCAGTACATGCAGTAAGCTAGATGCAGTAACAGGACATGAGAGAGAGAGAGAGAGAGAGAGAGAGAGAGAGAGAGAGAGAAGGAGAGAAGGTGCCCAGTGTATTATAGGAGGTCCCCCAGCAGACTAGGCCTAAGTTAGCCTAACTAGGGGCTGGTACAAGGCAAGCCTGAGCTGGCCCTAACTATAAGCATTATCAAAGAGGATAGTCTTAAATCTAGTCTTAATTGTGGAGACGGTGTCTGCCTCCCGGACCGAAACAGGAAGATGATTCCACAGGAGAGGAGCCTGATAGCTGAAGGCTCTGGCTCCTGATCTACTTTTGGCGACTTTAGGGACCAGGAGTAACCCTGCATTCTCAGAGCGCAGTGTTCTGGTGAGATAATATGGCACTATGAGCTCTCTAAGATATGACGGAGCCTGACCATTTAGAGCTTTATAAGTTAACAGTAGGATTTTAAATTCAATTCTGGATTTTACAGGGAGCCAGTGCAGAGAAGCTAAAACAGGAGAAATATGATCTTGTTTCTTAGTTCCTGTTAGTACACGTGCCGCAGAATTCTGAATTAGCTGGAGAGTTTTTAAGGACTTACTAGAGCTACCTGATAATAGGGAGTTACAGTAATCCAGCCTTGAGGTAACAAAAGTGTGGACCAATTTTTCTGCATCTTTTCGGGTCAGGATAGGCCTAATTTTCGCAATATTACGCAGATGAAAAAATGCAGTCCATGAGGTTTGATTTAAATGAGAATTAAAAGACAAATCTTGATCAAATATTACTCAGAGGTTTATTACGGTAGTGCTAGAGGCCAGAGCAATGCCATCTAGAGAAACTATGTCATCAGATAAAGAGTCTCTGAGTTGTTTGGGGCCAAGAACAATAACTTCAGTTTTGTCTGAATTTAACATAAGGAAATTGGTGCTCATTCAGGTTTTTATGTCTTTAAGGCAATTATGACGTTTAGTTAATTGATTACTTTCTTCTGGCTTCATCGATAAATACAACTGTGTATCATCTGCATAACAATGGAAATTTACAGAGTGATTTCTAATGATGTTACCTAAAGGAAGCATATATAGAGTAAATAGGGTTGGTCCGAGCACAGAACCTTGCGGAACTCCAAAACAAACTTTAGTACGTAGGGATGATTCATCATGAACGTGAACAAACTGAAAACAATAAGATAAATAAAATTTAAACCAGCTTAGTGCAGAACCTTTTTAGGCCAATTAAATGTTCCAAACTCTGCAGCAGAATTTGATGGTCAATTGTGTCAAACACCGCACTAAGATCTAAAAAAAAAAAACAGTACAGAGACGAGTCCTTTGTCTGAAGCAATCAGAAGATCATTTGTAATTTTAACTAGTGCTGTCTCAGTGCTATTATGCACTCTAAATCCTGACTGAAATTCCTCAAATAAATAATTACATGGACAAAATCACACAGCTGGTCTGAGACTACTTTCTCAAGGACCTTTGAAAGAAGATCCCACTATGGTTCTTCCTGGTACTGCAAGACAATCCACCACATGGGGTGGACATGATTGCACATGCCCCATGGCCAAGAAAGCTACTTTAAACCTTTCCAGTACTTAGTCTCATCTGTCCTCTATTAAAAGAATGAGGGAGCAGCAGTTGTCATTCATTCTCACTGCCTTAGGTTGCAATGTTATGCATAAATGACTCAAATGGTGGCAGCCCAGCCCTGGACCATCTCCCAGTTCTGGGGACTCTGTTTCAGGAGGCGGGTACAATAGGAGCTTTGCCTACTGTCAACCTCTCCAGGCTTAGCTCCTGAGAGTGACAGGCTGAGGAGGGCTGGACTGTCTGTGTAGGCTGTGCAGACCACTAGGCATTGAGAGTGAGATCCACCACTGCCTGTTACATGGCAAAGTAGCTGGGGTTCCAATGCTGGTGCAAGGAACAAAGACTGCATCCCCTGTCGTTAGCAATTGGTTCAATTCTTTCTTTTTTGCAGTGTCTGATGGATAAAGGCCTATCACATGTCTAAAATGGCCGCAGCGTGAGTGAACACATCTCAATCACCAGTCTGATTACTGCTATTTTGGTAGCTTTACACATTCTCCTTCAGCTTGATCCACAATTTTTTTAATTGATCTGCATCTATACTTGTAAAGTGAGCAAGTAAAGTCAGTTTAAGCAACTACAATATTGGTGTATCTGACTGCTTTTGGCATCCTTGCCACAATGGATGACCACCATATCTCACGTCAGACTCTGTGGGACGGCATTCAACAAATTAAGACTCACATGCTCATGCGCCTCGATACAAAAGTGGATCCTATACAAAGCACTTTGAATAACATTCAAATCTCTTTATCTACTTTGGGAGAGCAAGTTCATCTATTAGAGCAGCACGTGGGAGCGAATGAGGACAACATACATGAGCTTCAACACCTGGAAAAAGACAACTCCTACCTGATGGACAAGGTTGATGACTTGGAAAACTGAAGCTGACAGTGTAATCTCCGCTTCCTTGGGATTCATTAGTCTGCTGAGGGTACGGATATCATCGGCTTCATGTCTCGGCTAATTCCACAGCTTCTGGGACATAACAACTTCACCGCTCCTCCGATCATTGAGAGGGCCCACCGCTCTCTGACTGTCCGACAAAGTGGCAGAGCCAGTCCCAGGCCTATCATAATCAAACTTCTGTATTTCCAAGATATAGTGAAAATACTTTGCCTTGAAAGGGAGAAAAAGAAGCTGGAATACAACAGGTCTCGCATCCACATCTACCCGGACTTCAGTCCTGATCTGACGAGGAAGCGCCAGAGCTTTGACCCTGTGAAACGCAAAACTTTGTGATCTTAATTTGAAGTACTCTCTCCTCTATCCCTGCACGCTGTGTGTTACAGTCAATGGCAAACAGCAATGTTTCAACTGCCATACATTACATTGTACATTGAACTAAGATAAATGTGGATGAATGATGTCCTTGTCATCATCCTGTGTATTTTTTTCCCCTTATTATTATTTTTCTCTCTTGTCTGTTGTCTTTGTCACCATTATGTGTGTTTTTTATATTCTCCTCCTCTGTCTTGTTAGATTTGTATCATGATTGTGTTGGGCCCTCAGCCACATGTTTTAAACAATAGACAGGCCTAAACAAAACCAGCCAGTCTAAGAACAAAGGAAACGTGCCAAGCTTCCATTGGTCCGGTAACTATAAAAGTGTAAATCACTTTTGAATTTCAAACCCTTGCTCCCTATTGGGCGACAGCAGCCAGGTTCAGGTGGAGTCAGATGGAACCCCCTCTGACGTCACTGAGACATTAATTGCCGCTGCACACTTACGCCCCTCGCAATCCCCAAGTGACGAGTTGCTGGAAGGAGGCCAAAGCTTTCTGAGCGCAGGTTACTGCTAGGGAGCACCTCAAACATTTGAATTCAACCGACCTAGGCCACCCTTTTGTTTCTTGACTCGCTGGACGAGGAAAGACACTTTTTGTTTTTGTTTTTAACACTCCACGGAGAACCGGAGGAACGCCGCGCAACCCTGCCATTCCTCAGCATCTGCAGAGTTTTGAGAAACCCCTTTTTCTCCTGAGGAAGACGGAGCCACTGAGGCCCCGCTTCTTCAACCGAGTCGACTTAGCTGATCCCTCTTCTGCCACACTGAGGACAGCATCTTTCATCCAGATGTAGGATGCTACAGTGGCCCCACGCACTCATCCCAGAGCAACAGATGGGACACATGTCGTCACACCGTACGACTCAAGTAAGAGAGCTACAGTCTGGGCAGAGACTTTATTCAATTCAATTCAAATTCAATTCAAAGAACTTTATTTATCCGTTAGGAACTTCATTTGTGCAGAGCATCAGTGCGTGTACAGTTCACATAACCAGCAACGCAACATAATATACCGCATGCATTCAACAATCAACCATCAATTAACAGTCAAAAATTGGAGAGAAGAAAGCTTGCCAGCACAATGAGTACATGATGAATAGGTAATGATAAAAACAATTGTTAAAAATATGGATAGTAAATAAATAAATAAAAGCAATCAATGGTCAAGTTAAAGGAGTGGTGTAAACAACCATGTACATACATAAATCAGGCATTCATGAGCCATGTACATATATATACATACAAATTACATGTACACATACATACACATATACACACATAGGTCAGGCATTCATGAGCCGGATGGATGTGGGTACAAAGCTTGACATGGCTCTCTTAGTCCTGAATGCAAGTAATCTGTATCTCTGGCCTGAAGGTAGCAGAATGTAGTGGCTGTGCAGTGTGTGAGTGATATCTGAGGCTATGTGTGTACCTTTTAGTTTAACCCTTCTGTTGTAAATGTTGATGAGTGATTCCTGCTCCAGTCTGATTATTTTACTGCTCATTGTTATGATTTTGTTATATTTAGCGTGTAATTTAAGTGTGACTTTTAACTGTGATTGTAAACTTTGAGGAATGCCGGGGGAGCTGGAGCCTATCCCAGCTGACATTGGGCGAGAGGCAGGGTACACCCTGGACAGGTCGCCAGACTATCGCAGGGCTAACACATAGAGACAGACAACCATTCACGCTCACATTCACACCTACGGATAATTTAGAGTTATCAATTAACCTAATCCCCAATCTGCATGTCTTTGGACTGTGGGAGGAAGCTGGAGTACCCGGAGAGAACCCACACTGACACGGGGAGAACATGCAAACTGAAGGGCCCCCACACCCGGGATCAAACCAGGAACCCTCTTGCTGTGAGGCAACAGTGCTAACCACTACACCACCGTGCCGCCCCACTGCTGTGTCCCTTTCTTTGATAATCTCATCATTGAGTGCAATTCGGTGCATAACCTGCTGTTTGTTGTGCCGGCTGCGCGCTCACAATACGTTGCATTCCTATCTGTAACAAGGACCAGTGGATGGTAGGCTGACCCAGTTAGTTTACCGGCCTCTGAGGGATAGGAAAGTGATCATTGTGTTCTTCCACGGCTGCTTTTACCTTGCGCTGGTTACAAGCGCCCGCTCACCTCTTCTCTCACTCTCTCTCTCTCTCTCTCTCAATTCAATTCAATTCAATTCAATTCAATTCAAACAGCTTTATTGGCATGAACAGAAATATGTTGTTGCCAAAGCATTTTACAGAATATTTACATACAAACTTACAATATTACAATTCAATACAATACAAAATAATTCATACAATTCGATATAAATCCATGCATTTTAGGATGTTATAGTGAGTGAGTCCCTCAGGTTGTGGCAGGCAGATACATATTTAGCTGCCAGAGGAGCTGCTGTCCCTTCACCCAGCAGAACTGACAGTTTCTCCTCTGGTGTTAACATATGAAAGTCTGTTATTTTCTTAACTATTTCCCCAAAGTGCAAGTTTCTTATTGAAGAAAACTTGTCGCAGTAGAGGAGGATGTGCATCTCTGTCTCTATCTCTCCTGTGGAGCAGTGACCACATACACGCTCCTCTCTGGGCAGCCATGTCTGTCTGTGTCTTCCTGTCTCTACAGCTAGTTGGTGGTCACTGAGCCTGTATTTGGTCAGGCTCCGTCTCTGTTTCGTATCTCTGACAGAGTGGAGATATGCGGCCAATTTTTATTCTCTGTTCAGAGTCAAATAACAATTTAGTCTATTTTGAGTTTTTGTTTCATTTTTCCAATGTTGTAAATATAGATCTTTTGATTGATTCATAATAAGTTTTATTTTGTTGTGTTGTTTTGGAGCTGTGCTGATGGGAGTCTGGTTAGTTAGCTTCACCATCAGCTGAGTGAGGGGGCTGTTTTCAGGGTTCAGCTCTTGGGTTTTTAGTGCTTTGAATGGAAGTGTGTCTTTTTGACTTGTGTTTAGATGTGTCCAAAATGTTATTGCCTGTTTCTGAATATTAAGCAGTAATGGGAAGCATCCCAGTTCTGCTCGGCAGGCGTTATTTGGGGTTTTCCTTCTGCACGTTTAGAATTCTTCGACAGAATTCAGTGTGGACGGCCTCTATTGGGTGTTTATCCCATGAGCCATACTCCAATCCACTGAGTGGACCCCAGACCTCACTTCCATACAAGGCTATTGGCAAAATTACATAATCAAATATTCTAACTGGAATGTCAATGTTGAATAATTTGTTTTTTAATGCATGCGAGGGTTGCATGCCCTGCGAGCTTTTTCTTTGAGTGCATTTACTGCCATGTTGAAACTTCCTGAAGCAGATATGGTCAGACCAAGGTAAGTATAATTTTTTGTGTGTTCAATTACCATATTGTTTAAAGTAAAATGGTATTTGTTTTCAAAACATCAAAACATCTTTTTTGAAAGATCATAACTTGGGTTTTCTTAAAATTTACATCCAAGGCCCAGTTATGGCAGTATTGTTCCAGGATGGTCAGGTTATGTTGAAGACCATCACTGGTTGGGGACAACAGAATCAGGTCATCTGCATAGAGCAAATATCTAATCTCTGTGTCAAAGAGTGCGAAGCCTGGAGCTGTTGAGCAGTTCAACTGGTCTGCAAGTTCATTTATATACAGGTTGAATAATGTGGGACTTAAATAGCATCCTTGTTTTACACCGCGTCCTTGAGTAAAATATTCTGTTCTTTGATTGTGAATTTTCACAGCACATTTGTTGTGTTTGTACATGCATTTAATGACATCATATGTTTTACAAACTAGTCCACTTTAAAGGATTTTGTAGAGAAGTCCTTCATGCCAAATGGAATCAAAAGCTTTTTTGAAATCGATGAAACAAGCAAATATTTTCCCTCCCTTTTTTGGTGGACATGTTTATTAATTAAGGTGTGTAAGGTATATATATGATCAGAGGTTCGGTAATTTGGCCAATTGACATTTACTAAGTATGTCTTTGTCTTGAATAAAGGCTAGTATCCTGGAATTCAGGATACTACAAAATATTTTCCCAAGGTTGCTGCTCACACAGATCCCTCTGTAGTTATTAGGGTCTAATTTATTTCCATTTTTATAGACTGGGGTGATCAGCCCCTGGTTCCAGACATCACACTGTAACAAAAGTCTGTAGTTTTCACAGCATTATTACTGTATAATGGACAAATCCTTACCGTAAAACCTGTTTTCAGCATGTTGCTGTAGTTCTGCAAAGCATCATGGTCAAAATTAAATTCTACAGCAAATAATTTCTTCCTGCGGATCAGACTACAGTAATTTCTAGCGGGAACAGGACGGGTGTCACAAAGGCAAAGCTGGTAAGTTAACTGCACACACTTCACAATTTAAATTTTAGTGGAAGAGAAAAAGCAGCCTGTGTTCACTTAACTGTAGACTAGCTACGCCTGCCCTGATAGGCTATTTTACCCTTTGACTCATTGCCAATGACATTGGTAGCTACAAGCTCGCTTAGTACTGTCTCTGGGGTAAGAGAATTCGCCTGAGAGAAGCTAGACTAGACTTAACAAATTAACGTTTAGCTTGGTGAGTTTGATTAGTAACGTTAGTAACATTAATGTTTGAATTGTGTAACGTGTGGTGTGGTGTGCAACGTTAGCTGACAGCTAAATTTGTTAGCTTATTCGGTTGGAGCTAACTGTCACTGCCCGAAGTTACATGAACTTAGCAAGTGAACTGAATTTTGTCCGAAAGTGCGCGAACAGGCCCTACGGTAAGTGACGGAATGAAGTTTGTCCAGGTTGCGTTGCCAAACAAGACGGCGGCTGCGGTACCGCAAATCGGGCAGCTTAGCTAAGTTAGCTAGCTAACGGTAACGTCAGTCGTGTTGTGCCCTAAAGCGGCGCTTTGTTCTTTTCTGAAGGACATGGTTGTCTAACGGTTGTTGTCCATTTTAGGAAGGACCACTATCACCTTCTGGAAACCCCGTTTGTCTTTGCTGGCGTCGGAAAACCCTTGCTAACGTTAGTTAGCATCACCGCATTGAAGAGGTAACTGACTTTCATATCGTAACGAACCAACAGTTTTGACAATGTTTTTCAAGTGTAGGCAGTGTGGCTTTTTTGCAGAAACAATACCGAAGTATGTAAACCATGCGAAAGTACACAGAAACCATGCCAACCATAGGTTTCCATGCGGGATGTGTCCCTTCAATTTCAAGACTTGGTCTGCCTTGCGTACTCACATGTACCGCAACCACACAAAACCTAAACCTGCCGTTAGACCTCGCAAGTTATTTGTTGAGGAATGTCAGGTTGAGGGGTGCACTTTTAAAAGTTCACAGTTTTCAAGTGTGTGTGGGCATTTAAAGATGCACATGAGGGATGGGAAAAAGATTGTCTGTCCCTTCAGTAGCTGTCAAAAGCAATTCAGCATCCAATCATCATTCACATCACACATAAGCCGGAAACATGCAAAAGAGTTGGTAGATAGCACAGATGGAGGGGTGAGCACGGATAACACAGGAATGCATGATGATGATGTTGATATGGAAGCTGACATGACAGACTGTTAACTTCCCCCCTGATGTTGGTGATGGAGATAAAGACAGGGATCTTTTTCTTACCAATTTGGCTCTCTTTTACTTGAGGATGCAAGCAAATATGCTTTTACCTGTGTCCACAATATCCACTCTGATAGAGGAGTTCCAAGAAGTATGCACAAATGCTATGTTCCAAATGTTCAGTAGACTTCGTGAAGAATTATCAAAGCTTGAAATTCCAGATGAAAAAGTTTCTAGTATTATTGATGGATTGTCAAAAGAAAACTTATTGAAAATGTATAATGAGGGGGTGTTCAGATCAGATTCAACCTGTAAGACATATTTTAAGAGAAACTTAAGTTATGTTGAGCCTGTAAAGGTCTGTCTTGGTTTTGATGCCTCTGGTAAAGAGCAGTTTTACCAGTATGTCCCCCTTAAGGAGACACTAACAGCCCTGTTGAGCCTGCCATCAGTGGGAGAGCAATATAGTGTGTCAAAAATGCACCCCCCAGTGGATCCAGATGTGCTTGAGGATGTGAGGGATGGTAAAACCTTTAAACAAAACACCCTCTTACAAGAGTTGCCTTCCTCACTTTCAATTATCTTGTATCAAGATGCTTTTGAGGTTGTGAATCCTCTTGGATCAGGAAAAAAGAAACACAAGCAACTAGCTGTGTACATGACACTTGGTGCTGCACACCTGCCATTAATCACTTCATCCATTAGTATTTGACAGGAAACCCATGTGTGTGCATCATCCAGGTAGTACTCGAGATGGCCTACAGTTAAGCACGTAGTCTATACATCTTCAAAATGGGATGCAATGGGACGGGATGGAGTGCTGGGATAGCCAGAGTATCAAACTGAAGCTTCTTCCTACACAGTGGAGTGGGTGGAGTCTGTGGTGTGATCCAGGCTAGTGCTGGGATGTAACGACTGGGGTTCGGTATTTGTAATTCCAGATTCTTCGTCAGGATAAATCTGGAACACAGCAAGTGTGCGGCAAAGATGCAGGTGAGCCGAAGGACAGGAAGGACGGTCCAGAGGAAGAACGAGTCCCTCAACCCACACGTCGCTTCCTTCATAAGGGACTTCATCGATTATGATTGAAAGAACTGATACCAGGTGAGACAATTCACTCATTTTATCTTTAGGCTGAAGGAGTCAGGAAGTTGTCTCTTTTGGTTTTAGTGTCAGTGTCAGCGGACTGGTTGTAGTGTGTACTGGTTGAATTGCACCTATCTAATGGAAACTTGTTGCATGACCTCGCCAGTGGCGACCTAAAAGAGACAGCTTTCTGACTCCTTCAGCCTGTTGTCATAACACTAGCCCTGGATCTGAATGCCGTCGCTGTTTCTCGTTTTCTTTAATATTTTCATGAAATGCACACACACATTGTACAAACACGCCATTTATTGGTGACATCTCTTGGTGACAAAATACCATCATTCTTGTCTATAATGAATGTTTGATTTTTCCACCCACTGCCAGGAAGAAGACTTACACCCACGCGAACAAGTGAGAGACCAGCCCACTACCCTGATGTGTACGCACAAGAAATGCTGGCTATGATCAGAGCTACCTGAACAGGCATGTTTTTCTTTTTTTAAAAAATCTTTTTCTTACGTATTTGGCTCTTTTTTACTTGTCTCTTTTGGTTTTAAACAAAGATTATTTTATCTGTGTCCTTAATATCCCCTGATAGAGGAGTTCCAAGAAGTTTGCACAATGTTATGTCCCAAATGTTCAGTGGACTTTGTGAAGAATTATCAAAGCTTGAAATTCCAGATGAAAAAGTTTCTAATGTTATTGATGGATTGTCAAAAGAAAACTTGAAAATGTATAATGATGGTGTGTTCAGATCAGATTCAGCCTGGAAGACATATTGTGTTCACGTTTCATTCATTGTATTGTTTGTAATCTTTGGCATTAACAAGAATAAATGCATTTTTGGTGACTAAATGTGTCTTGATTTTACAGTAGGTAATTATTCCACAGTTATTGAGTCACAGTATTAAAAATTAATGCAATAATTCTTATTACAGTAGTCTTATATTAGCAGTAATAAATACGGTAAAAAATACAGCACAGCACTATGTTACTGTAAGGAGTATTACAGTACTGTTACTATTACTGTCAAGAATAATACAGTACTTAATAATATTACCGTATATGTGATTTACAGTAAGCATACTGTAGAATATACTACAGCAACTTACTTGCCATTTGCTGCCAGCAAGTTACTGTAGATTTTACGGTTATCTTTTTGCAGTGCAGGAAAGCAGCCAGTGGTCAAAACCATGTTGAACAGTTTAACAACTGCAGTTTGCAATTCAGGGGTACTGTTCTTCAACATTTCATTTTTGATGCAATCTATGCCACAAGCTTTTTTTTTATTTGAGAGTTTTCAGTTTGTCTGTTAACTCTTTTGTGTAATTGGGTAATCTAATGGATTTTGGTTATTCTTGATAGCTGATTCAAGGTTGCCTAACTTTGTTTTAATTTCCATTTTATTTAGATTGAGATGTTCAGGTGAGATATTTTTATAGAGGTCATTAAAATAGTTTTTCCAGATGTCTCCATCTTGTATTGCTAATTGTTGTGGCTTTACAGTTTCCAAACTGTTCAACATGTCCCAGAACTGACCTTGACCTACTGCATTTTCAATCTCCTGAAGTGTTTCGTTGGTGTAGTGCAATTTCTTTTTCCTAATGGTCTGTTTGTACTGTTTTAGAGTTTCAAAGTATTCATGTTGTAGTGTTGGGTCATGTTGGTGTCTGTGTTTCTGGTTTGATAATTGTCTCAAGTGTTTTCTTATTTCTTTACATTCACTGTCAAACCACTTTTTTTCAGGGGGGTTTTGTTTACCATTTTGACGGTGGGGTTTCTTTGTTTTCCCAAGCTTTGCATTTAATGCAGCTTTTTGGAAGATGGGTCCACGTCATTGGTCCGACAGCCCATTGATCTGACATCCCATTAGTCTGACGTCCCGTTGTTCCGATATGTAATTATACTAGGCTATGCTGTATTTGTGTACCATAGAGGATCAGCAAACGCAACTAAAGTAGGCTACTGGTTGAGATACAAGTGCCATAAAGAGAAGAGAGTGAAACACCATAACCTCTTGTTATTAACTCTGGGGTCGGGGTTGTGTGGGGAGCACTCTGCGGTACTGAACGGCTCCCAGTGGGCGTATTTCTGCCTTGATGGTGCGCCGCGACCGGCTCTTCGGAACAACGGGACTTCGGAACAATGGGATGTCGGACCAATGGGCTGTTGGACCAATGGGCAGTTCCCTTGGAAGATATGGTTAATATCTTTTGTTGCTTTATTAACACCTTCCGAGTTATTTTGGTAATTGGAATTGTTGAATGTGTTGATTGCATCTTTTATTTCATTTGAATTCAATTTTTTTAGGAATTGTTCAGCACTGTTTGGAGCCCATCTGTATGGTTGATTTAAGGCGTACAGCTTATTGGGCTGTTTCTTAACAGTATCTCTACTGTGTTTTGTCAAGTAAATATTAACCTGGCTGTGATCTGAAAGGGGGGTTTGTGTTCTGACAGTGAAAACACTAAATGAAGAGGGGTCCATGTCTGAGATGGCATAATCAACTACACTTCTCCCAAGACCTGAGCAGTAGGTGAAGCGCCCCAAACTATCCCCTCTGATCCTTCCATTTAAAATATACAGGCCTGTGGCTCTGCACAGATGCACTAACTCTTTAAAATGTTTGTTTATTGTCTTGTCAGGGTTGTTTCTCATGACTGTGGGTAAGGGGGTCAAAAGTGACTGTCTGAATATATATTTATCTCCTGTGTGGTCTATATGGTCAGGTTCTGAACCTGTCTGTGCATTAAAGTCCCCACACAGAAGTATTCTGCCTTGGGCTTGAAAATGACATATCTCTATGTAGAGAGAGTTGTAGAACTTTTTCATTGTATGGTGACTTTGATGGAGGGGTGTATATTGCACACAAATATAAATCTAGCTCACAAATGCCTATCTCTTTATTAATTTTGAGCCAAATGTGGTTTTTGCCTTGTTGTACTGTTGTGATGTGTTTTAGGGCTGTCAAAAAAAAATTCGAAGTTCGAAATATATTCAAATATATATATATTTTTTATAAGTTCGAACCTAAATTTGATAATTTGAATATCATTAATAATTCATTAATACTATTAATAACGTCGTATATCACGGCAAACCAGATGCATGTTGGTTGCGTCTGTGCACGCAGCAGATAATTAGCACAGCTGTTCCGCAACGGACCCGCATCCAGTGGAATTCCGGCGAGAGACGGAGGGAGAGGCGCCGACGGAGGAGCCCGCTGTGCCAACACCACACTGTAAACAATTGCTGTTAATTTACAGCCAATTTTCAACACTAAAATACTGTTTTCATGTTAAACAGTTTAGTACTGTAGTTAGCAATGCATTGTGGGCTGCTTAGCTTAGAGCAATAGGACAGATGCCCTAAACAGTATGCTGATGTTTTAAATTACAGGACATGACAGTATTTTTTTGGAAACTGGGTGTTGCCTGGGGAATTTGGAGCAAGGTCAGATGTTTGATACAACTTTGGCCTTTTAATTCTAGAAATGAGGCTACTTCTTTTTGTTTTTCGGTAAATTTTCTTTAAAAAATACAGAAATAATTTGCAATCGACCCCTGAAAGGACTTCAGGAACCATCGTTTGGATAGGAGATTTTCCAGAAGAGGATGCACAATTTAGAGGACGTGCTACACATCATCAAGTGTTCTTCATCAACATCCATCGGGTCTTGCATCTACAAATTAAACGGTAATTAAAATCTTATTTCTTTGCCAGTAGGTATCTTATTTATATTGCCAAGAATGTTTGATATCAAACCGATGCACATGAGTTTGTCTCATTTATCAGTGAAGTTTAGATTTGAATAGCCAAAGCAATATTACTTTTAGGTGTTTTTTGTTGATTAATCTTGGTAACGTTAATATAACCGAACGTCATCAAGATTAATGCATGTTTGTTGATGAAAAGGAACTTACCATCAGGCAGTAACAATGTTCCCCTGTCAGATTTGTTGCCATAACTGTGCCACAATAGTGGCATACGTAAGGCACATGAGAATTCATAAAAATACACCCAATTTAACTTTTAACTGTGATTTGCCAGATTGCAATCAGACTTTCCAAAACTTTTCAACGTTTAAGTGTCACACTTAGAGACATAACAAACGTGTAGTAAGGCCTACTTTGTCTGGTGTTGTTGAACTAACATGTCATGTTGATTTCTGCAGTGCAAAGTATGAGACTTTGACAGCTTTTTACTCTCATTTGAAAACACAAATTAGAGAGGGGAAAACAGTTGCTTGTCCTTATAAACACTGTAGCAAGAGCTTTACAGTTTTATCGACATTTATATCACACATGAGTCGGAAAGATAAAAATGGTGCTGAGGAAAATTTGGTTGAGTCTGTTGTGAATCCTGGTGTTTCCCATGAGAGTGAACAAGATCAGTCTGATATGCAGATCGATCCTCCCAGTGATGCAGGTGATGAACAAGAGATTTACCCAGAAATTGCTGATGAATCACAGTTCTTTAAAAATTCAGCCCTATTTTATTTGAAATTGCAAGCAAAGTGTTTGCTTCCATCCTCTGTCATCCAGACAATTATTGAAGATTTTCAGGAAATACATGACATAAGCCAGTCACATTTGCTTTTCAAACTAAAAGAGAAGTTGATTACACTTGGGATTTCAGAAACTGACACAAACAATGTGATTGAAGTCATGAAAACTGAGGATCTCTTTAGGACCTGCAACACTCAGCCACTGAAAACTAATCAGAAAAGAAAAACTGTTTTCAAGAACAGCTTCAACTATGTTGAGCCAGTTCAGATCTGTCTAGGTCAGAATGAGGCAGGCAAAGAGTGTTTTGTCCAGTATGTTCCTATTAAACAGACAATTAATTCTCTATTTCATTGCCAATCAGTGCAGGAACAATATAAGCAAGTACACTCCAGTATTGGTCCTAAGGATATTCTTAAGGATGTGTGGGATGGCAAAAACATGGCTGAGAATGTGCTCTACCAGACTGAGAGCTCATCACTGAGCTTGATCCTGTATCAGGATGCATTTGAAGTGGTAAACCCACTGGGATCTGGAAAGAAAAAACATAAGATACTTGCAGTGTATCTAACTCTTGCAGATTTAATGCCACACAACAGATCCACTGATCAAATGCAACTTGTTCTTCTCTGTAAAGGACATGATTTTAAGTATTTTGGTCAAGACTTGATTATGGGCATCCTCGTCAATGACCTTAAAGATCTTGAGCTCAATGGTGTTACCCTGTCTGACGGAAAGGTCTTCAAGGGAACTTTGTGTGCCATAGCAGGTGACAACCTGGGCTCATATAACATAGGAGGCTTTGTGGAGAACTTCAGCAGGAGTTCACACTTCTGCAAATATTGTGATATCAGCAGAGAAGCATTCCATGCAGATCCTCTTATCCAGGGCACAAAATGCACAGTGCAGTTATACAGTGATCATGTTCAGAGCAGTGAAGGACAGTCTACATCTAGTGGAGGTGTTAAATTTGACTCTGTGTTTAATACGTTCAAATACTTCCATGTATGTCAGCCAGGGTTGCCTCCATGTCTTGGCCACAATCTTTTTGAAGGTATTGTATCCTCTGATCTGGCACTGTACATTAACCATCTTGTTAAGGTGGATGAAATGTTTAGCTATCTTGGGTTGAATTGGCGAATAAATCAGTTCAAGTATCTTGGTAGGGATGCTAATGACAAACCATGTGCGGTTAATCCAGAGGGTGGAAAACTTGGGGGACATGCTGTACAGAATTGGTGTTTACTAAGAATGTTGCCTGTTTTGATTGGAGACAAAGTAAAAAATCCAGGTGACAACGAAGTATGGCAGTTGGTTTTGCAACTTTGAGAAGTTGTGGACCTCATTTGTGCACCTGCCATTTCAAATGGCCAGATAGCCTACCTAAGAGTTCTGATCGATGAATATTTGCATTGCCGAATGCAAACCTTTCCTGACAACCCACTGAAGCCCAAACATCATTATGTCAGTCATTATCCTGAGCTCATTATCCAGTTTGGGCCACTCATTCGCCTATGGACTTTAAGATTCGAGAGCAAACACACATATTTTAAGCAGTGTTTGAGGAAATTGCGCAACTTTAAGAATCCATGTTCTACTCTTGCAGAGAGACATCAGCTTCTGCAGGCCTTTCTGAGTGCTGGTACCTTCTTCCCTCCAGCTGTTTCAGTGGAGAGGGGCACACAGTTTTTCTCAGATGACTACAATGATGTAATCAGAGAGGCAGTTGCACATCACAATTTTGAGTCCACAAACACTCTGATAGCCAATGAAGTGACTGTGAAGGGGACCAAACACAAGAAGAACATGCTCATTGTGATTGATATTGATGATGACAGACTTGTTACTGGAAAAATCAAAGTGGTTCTCATTCATAAGGATTCAGCAGTATATTTTATTGCTGAAAAGTATCATGCCCTGCGTATTCCTGACATGGGTGTTTACAGCCTCACACTGATGCAGAGAAGCTACTCTTGTATTAATCAGGAGAATCTGCTAGATTACTGTCCCTTGCCTGAGTACACTGTCCATGGCACACCACTGATAATTCTTCACCATTCTTTCCCTCTATTCCAGAATGATGGTGAACTTGAGTGAAGAAATCAAAGAGATCATCTGCAAGACCTTGCCAAATCTGTCTGAAGAGACTAGAGCTTAGATCTGGCCCAAAAAATCCAGCCCGACCTGGCCCAAGCCCGTGCACGTTATGTCGGGGACCGGCCAGGCCCGTCCAATTAACTGTAATTAACTGGGGGTGGCAGAAGCTCAGTCCATAGGGACTTGGGTTGGGAACCGGAGGGTCGCCTGTTCAAGTCCCCGTCCGGACCAAAATATGGAGCGTGGACTGGTGGCTGGAGAGGTGCCAGTTCACCTCCTGGGCACTGCCGAGGTGCCCTTGAGCAAGGCACCGAACCCCCAACCGCTCGGGGCGCCTGACCAAAGGGCAGCCCCCTCACTCTGACATCTCTCCACTTTGTGCATGTATAGGTCCTGTTTGTGCATGTGTGTGTCTTTCAGACCTGTGTGTAATTGACAAGCAAGAGTGAAAACATTGAATTTCTCCTCAGGGGGATTAATAAAGTGAATAAACTTAATTATGGGCCCGAGCCCGATTTAAACCCGACATTTTTCAGTAAGTTGGCTGTTATAATTAAGAGTATTAAACCACAATTCTTGTTATTTTAATGACAGAAATATAGGATCTTAATGAATGGCGCAACACGGAAGCATGATTATGTAATAAAACAGGTGTTTATTTTAGGATCCAGGTGGTGAAGGGCTGTGCGTGCACAATGTTGTAACATTGGACGTGTGGAAAGGATGACGCAGTTATTCAGCGATTAAACCACCATTTATTACTGAACAGTACAGGTTACTGTTGGCCGTAACCACGCCAAAACAACCAACAAACAACAACTTAGCTGTAACTCCATCTGTGCACTCCTGCTCTCTCCTCCAGCTCGGTCATACACACACCAGCACGCGCACTCACACAGCCCTCCTCATCCCCGTCACACTCACATCCCGCACCTCATTCAATCCCAAACATGCCATTAACTCACAGAACATTGACATTATAACAGAACATTTACTGCAGGGTCGCTACAATACATAGTCTATAACATTATCAAATCATAGCTTTTAAAAAAAAAAGTCACATCTGACTGGCCCGGCCTGGGCCCATCAGAGGGAGGGGGGCTCCCGGCCCGACCCGGCTTGGGCCCGCGGGCCAGGTCGGGCCGGGCTCGGGCTCAGGCAGAGAATCTAAGCTCTTGAAGAGACAGTGGCAAATAATATTGAAACCTCAGAGCTCTGGCTCGGAGTCAAAAGAAGACTTAAAATATGTCCAACAGGAAGACATGGCTGATCTGTTACGTGTTATCCAGCGCCGAAAACTCCTGGATGCATTCAAATTAGGTAATGTATGGCTAATTTAGTGTGGCATTCAAGTGGGGATGCACTAGTACTTAAAAACAGAACATAACAGAAACCATACTGGGTTTATGTAGTTCATTTTCATAAACATTTTAAAATGGCTTTCACCTCATAGTTTATTACATTCAAATCAAATCAACGCTTTGTATTGGGCAGTTTTTTTTACATTGAACTGTCACTCAGAATGCTTCATTGCTTCTTCTCACTCTCTGTCTCCAGCACTGAGGTGATCTTTAGTGGTCTAGAAACAAGCATTTCCCCAAATGATTCACTGATGCATTATCTATTTCTAGGTTAAAGGTGCACTATGTCATTTTGGGCAAGAAATTTTAATGAGAAGAGAAAAATCTTTAATGATTAATTTTCATGCATATCAAATTAAAAAAACAAATTGAATTCATTTTATTGACTGAATAAACTGAACAAACAAACTGACAGTGGACAACTCAATTTCCCACTGTTTTATATGGTTTATATTCGGCTGACCCTGCCAACTTTCTAGCTTCAAACAGTGTTCTGGAGAACTTATTGTCTTGTTTATTCAGTTGTGGATTTTTTTTTCTAAAGCTATATAATGCACCTTTAAACTTCTCAAATATACCTAATATAAGAAGAAGTTAAGTAGACTTTTGGCCACATGTCTGCAGTGACTCTGATATAGCTTAATAGTTATGTGCCCTAATTCTTTTTTTTCTTTGTTTGTTTTTTGTCTACTTTTTAGAAACTGAGACAGTTACATTGGATTTTCAAGGCATTCCAACTTCGTCACCACTGAGTAGTGATTTGTCGGTGTCTGAGTCTTCATTACCATCATTATGCACTCCGCCTCATTCTAGCTCATCACAGCTATCGGCCGTTGCATCATGTTCAAGCCAGACGAGAAACAGTGAGCCAAACATGGCCAGAAACATTCCAGGTCCCTTGGGAACAAATGCCACAGGAAATACGTTCTGCAATTGCAGATGGCAAGAGACCTAAACCAGTGGAGCAACGCCAGATGGTATGAGTGCTCGTGGATGAAGTGAGAAGGTATGAAGCTAACCCCACTTGCACATAGTGCCTAACTGTGGTTCGAAATATCATCAGGCAGTACCCAAAGAGTTTTGCTGATATGACACCAGATGGGTCACTTCTGGGTGGAGGTTATACATCACTTTTGATTCAAGAAGTGAAAAACCGCATTGAGAATGTGAACTGTGACGTAAGCTTCTTACGCCACTGACCCTCTACACAAAAAAAAAGGGGTCCAACTGACACATATGGATGCACAAGATTTCAGCCAGAGCTCCCCCAGAAGAAACTGATGAGACTTTGGAGGAGCACCACCAGAGACTAGAAGAGATTTACAGACAGGAGGGTGCAGGTGGAGCAGAAAGAGCCGAAGTTAAAAATCTAATGGCACACTTTGGAGAGGACCAAACTGGGCTGATCCTTCTTGCAGATGTAAGTTTTATTATTTCTTTCAAACCCAGTGTTTTAAAGGGTGACTCCACCAGTCTTAAGTGTCCAGACACTTAATTGTGTGTACTAGTTTTGGGGAGTACTACTGCATATGTGAAAACGGTAGTATAAAGTCTTTTGTGGCTCCATAGGAAGCTGCATGTAAACTGATAAATTGCCTCCATATTGTCACACGGTTGCTAAATTGCATTATGGACATCAAGTCGGTAATACTGGATTTTCGCCACTTGGGGGCGCAATTGACTCATTTAAAATAAAAAACGACCTTAGGACAACAGAGTGACATTAACAAGTTGTTTCTTTTATTCCTTACAAATAAATTTTGCAGCTTACTCAATCAGTGCAAACAAGGGTTGCCTCCTTCGTCTGGCTCAAAGCCAAAGTGTTGCAATAGTGGCGCAATCATTGATTTCGTCAAGACTAAATTGTCCGCCATTATCGACTCCCCGTCACTATTAAACAAACTCCAGGCTACAGTAGAGGCTCATGCGCACTCGCACCTCCTAGCTCAGTCCCCGCCCCACCCCCCCCTCTCTCTCCTGCTTGCTGTGTGCTTGGTGAAGAGGCAGACACAGGTGCTCACAGACTCGGGCTTACTATAAGCTGAGCGGACTACGTGTAAAAATCCCTGCGATGTGAAAAATATATGCCGAACAGTCTTTTGTGTGACACTGGTGCGCGGAGCGAAGTCCGCGCGGTCGTGCTTTGCGCGCACAGGGCTTGCGGACATCCACTTTTATCGGGCGGACCTCCGCAGCGTCTGCTCCGCGTATGTTCTACCCGAGTATGCGATCCGGTCGGTCTCAAAAAATAAAACCCGGTCCAAGACGGAGTACCGGACCAAATTGGTATTACAGAGAACCGACCCAACCCTACCGGGCGACTATTTGGAAATATACGGTATACATCTAAATTAATGTGTTTGTATTTTTTAGCATATAATGGTATTAGTACATTTGAAGCCACAACACATACACACACACAAAGACAAAAACAATGGATTGAATTTAATTGAATGTACACAAAACAGTATGTCGTTGCAACCCCACTCTGATCTTAGACTATTTTGATTTCAGGCGCTTCATTGGTATAAATCCAGAGAGAGAGACAAAGGCCAAAAGGGGCAAGGTTGTCTCCAAGAAGAAAGGTGTGATCGTCCAGAAGAAGTCTTCTGCAGTCAATACACACGTCTCCATGCTACTGAAGAAACTCCTTGACTTTGAATGGAACTTCAAATAGATCAGTGAGTTCTCTTTAATCTCGCGCTCTGTCCATGTGTTGTTTTGACAGTTTGGCATTGCCACATTAAGCCACAAGAGAACTGGTATTATTAGCTTTATAAGCATTAACTTGGAGTGTATATTGTACATTCCTGATTGTATAGTTTATTTATTATTATGATTATGATTATTTGTTTGTTTTTGTTTGACAGTGGCAATACTGGAATAATGCTGAGAGGAACAGCGGCAAAGTGATGGTCAGTCATGGTAAATTACAAGTCTAGCTCGCAGTGGCGCTGGTGCCTACCTTACAGTTTCTTCCCTAAATGTTGTTATTGATGCATATTATTGATGCATATTGTCAAAATGTTCTAACTGTACTGTAATAGTTTCAGAATGGCCTTAATGCACATTTTCAAAATGTTCTTAAGTTTGTTTTCCAAATGTTGCCAATTCTGCACATGTTCAAAATGTTATTATGAAAGTATATTTTCACAGACAGCAGATAATACATTGCACTTTACGTAACGTAAATCCTTTAAGTTGACTTTTGAGGAAATTTTAATCGAACACACAGGACTCTTTTAAGAAGTGGGCTTTTTTTTTTTTATTTTACAAAATGTGCCAATGATGCTTGTTTGCTGAATGTTCTTACTCATGTAATCAAAAAGGTCTTAATGTGCCTTCTTTGAAAATAGTCTAAATAGTGTAGTTTTCTGAATATTGCTAATGATGTGTTTCAGAATTCTTTTACTGATGTATATTTTTGCCGGCAGCAGATTGTTTATTGCAGTAAATTTTGAGATTGTATTTTAAATGGCTTTTTGCAAGAACATAAGCATACCTCAAAGGATAGGTTAAACTCTTATGTCCTCTGTATTTGTTGCCTTGGTCTTTTTCCTAGATTCGTTGTGTTATTCAGGTAAAGCTTGAGTTTGGTAAGATAAATCACTTATGACAAGAATTTGTCTTAAATAGACAATATTGAATAATATTGACATTGGCCCAAAAAGTCAGCTATAGGTTATGCCCTTCATGTTTGACAATGGTTAGGGGCAGTCTCTGACGAGCAATTTAAGAATTTAAGTTTATTGCCATAGTCTAAAGCAGACACTACTAGGCTGTTTCTGTTTGCTACTCAAAATCTCTTCTCAGGGTTTAATTTCTTTTTTTCCCATTTTATGAAAGTAGCAGTATTCATGTTGACATTGCACTTTGAAATAAATATATTTGATTCTGATAATCTCTAAGTTTTTATTGCTTATTTTGCACAACAATAATGCATAACTTAAGCAATTGTCTATTTACAGAAGCGCATTGCATTCACTGGATGAAAAAAAATTAGACACCTGATCTCGTAATTATGAGAAAAGATCTCATAATTACGAGATAAAGATCTCGTAATTATGAGAAAAGATCTCGTAATTACGAGATCCTGATCTCGTAATTACAAGATAAGGATCTCGTAATTATGAGATCTTTTCTCGTAATTATGAGAAAAGATCTCATAATTACAAGATAAGGATCTCGTAATTATGAGATCAGGAAAGGTGCCACATTAGCCACTGCTTCGCTCAGAACCACATACTGCACATCCAAGAAGGGAGATCGGAACTACTGTAACCAGCTGCCACTCGGGTGGTGCCATCTTGACTATATCCCATATCTTTATTATAATGTGTATATATTGGAAATTACAACGGAGTATTACACTAAGCAAGGACAACAGTGCGCGCCGTATATATTTTGATCCATTTCATACTTCAGATTTATATTGTTTGGCGTTAATTGGTGACAGAAAAGAACGAATTTCATTGTGCAGGGAAACGTGTGTCCTTACTGTGCATATTGAATCTTGAATCTATGTTTTATGAAGACCCTGTGTGCGCTCAGAGCTGTGGCACAAGTTACGCACTGAAATCTGGCGGAAGAAAAATAATAATAAGACGAAAAATGAGTAGGCTGTGTGTGACTTATGCGCTGATGAAGTGGTGGGTGATAGATGTGCCTGACATCGATTAATTTAGTTTCAGCACCGCGGTAGTGGCCAGCTCCTGTTAAGATATAAACAGAATGAAAGCAGACAAGGTAGGCCAATTACAGAACTTGTCTTGAGAAATAGCTTTCAAATTCAGGGCTCAACAATAACGACTGCTGCCCGATTGGGCAAGTTGCTAAAAATAGTAAAAGTTAATAACTATTTGATAAAATAAATGTATTTTAAAACATGCTCCTTTGGCTCTGATGCAGCGGCCTCTCTGCCTGAAGTCACAGGCACACGCTGTGTAACAATGTCCTGCCCACAGCCCCCATTGATAGCTATTATTTTGCGCGATGGACGCTTCATATAATTATGGTGTTATGTCATCGTGTCATTTCTGTCTCTACATGGTCACGTGTTAACAGTTCTCCTCTGCTCTCTGTATCGTGCACGGCGGAGTTCCGCCACACACACAGGTGAGCACACAAGAGTGTGGCTCGGGCCGCATTTTTCTGACCAAACCTGACCCTGAGCCCGGTGCAGTTTGTCAGCTGACAAAGTTATTGTTATGGACAGTGTGTAAATAACCATCAACAGACTGCTGTTACGCACAGACAAACAGCAGCATGTCAAGTGACTTTTTACCTTTATTATATTCAATACAATTGTATGTTCCTAAATCTTGAGACACCTCATATGTAAGCTAGACAGACATTTCACCTGCTCATACTGTGCACACAATACTGTATGTAGGCTACTTAGTCCTAAAGAGCCCTTCTGGTAGCCTACCAGTAGATACACAGAAACATCCCAGCAGGCTGTGCTTTGCAAGCATACAAAAAAGTTTCATGCATGTGAAAATTACTTTTCATGCGTGTGCTTCGTCTCCGCTGCTACAACGCCATCGTAGGGGAAACACTGCTGTGTGCGTTTTGTGCAACAGGTGGATGTGGTAGTCTACTGGAAGAGTAGAGAGAGAGAGCTAAGTAGCGTTGAAGTAGAGTAGAGCAGGGCAGAGAGATGGAAGCAAAACATATTAAACCCGGTGTTAATACAGCAGAACTGGAGAGAGGGGTGAAAAATTAATATAAGTGGGCATGGGCGCAAAATTATAGATGGAGAATGATTGACAAATTTTTCACTTTAAGCCCTGACGCTGTCATATTTGTGTAGGAATTAAGCTACAATACATTACATGTTGTTTTAATTAATAAATACAGTGTGAATAAAGATTACATAACATAAAAATAACTGCAGTCTTTGTTAGCCTAATAGCCACTTAAATTAAACAATTTTTATAGGGCAAGTAAAAACTGACTTCGGGCAAGAAGATCTCTGACCAACTTGCCCGACCGGGCAAGTGAAAAAAAACCTTAGAGTTGAACCCTGAAATTGAATCAGAGATTAAATGCATTTTCAATAGAGGCAACTTTTTAAATTAGGCTATTGCTTTCTTTTCACTGTCTGCATCCATTTAAGATTTTACTTGAGATTGCTCTTTAAGAAACTCTTAACAGAAGCTGGCCACTACTGCGGTGATGAAACTAAATCAATCGATGTCAGGCACATCGATCACCCACCACTTCATCAGCGCATACGCTAAGTTACACACAGCCTACTTATTTTTCGTCTTATTATTTTTCTTCCGCCAGATTTCGGCGCGTAACTTGTGCCACAGCTCTGAGCGCACACAGGGTCTTCATAAAACATAGATTCAAGATTCAATATGCACAGTAAGGACACACATTTCCCTGCGCATTGTTTTAATATCTCCTTGCTCAGTGTAATATTAATGTGCCTGCCGCGGCTGGATCTGTGAGCGTTTGATCGCTAAGAAGACTGTTAAGAGAGGGTCAGCTCGATCTTACAACTCCTTCTTAGTGAAAGATCTTCCTAAGCTAACAGCGATCTGGGAAATGCGGCCATTATCATGTCAACATACAGGGAAAATGTGTCCAGAGTTTATGACATTTACCGGGAGAGCTAGAGCCATTTGACTAAAGCTGACGTTATTACTGCTGTAGCATGATGTTACTATGCTAAATATTATATTTCTAACAGTGTCTGAGCTGATTTATTGACACAGTATGCTTGTAGGCTGCCGTAACGTTAGGTTTACAGAGGAAGTAACGGGATGTGACTTAATCGTGTGAAAATATCGTTAGTGAAACAGAAACAAGCGTTAGTTAGGGGACAAGAGTCAAGAGTCACAAAGACTCACATAGGCTATGTTAAAAGTTACTTACAACCGATGTATTTACTGTATGTGTCCGGGGTCCTTAGCCTGTGGAACAAGTAAAGGCCTATTTCCACCAGATGCGTGTTGGTTGCGTCTGCGCTCCGGCACGGCAGCGGAGCCGATAGGATTCAATTCTAGTTAATGTGTGTGTTTCCACCGGTTGCGGCTGTGCTGCGTTCCGGCTCCGTCTCAGCTCCGGCACTCCGGAGCCCTCCGCAACAGATACGCAGGACTTCTATTTTTGCCGGACGCCGGAGCACAACGCAGCAATTCAGCACAGAGCAGATTGTGCGGGGCAGGAAGTCGTGCACAGAAACACAATAAAACATCCGGTTAATTTTCAAAATAAAATACACAGTGTTCACGCGGATCATATTTCCCTGTACTACACCTTGAAAACTACATAATGGGCAGAGGCAGGCCTGAAGTCAACAGGTCAGAGGTTTTCAGACGTCATTTCACCTCGCGAACACCATGGACGAGGAGATATTCATCATGGCAGTGCACCAAGATGTCTTCTGGCGGAGCTGCACCGCACCGCACAGCAAACGCAGCCGGTGGATATTGACGGACGGCGGAGCACGCAGCGGATAACCAGTGCTGCCGTTCCGCAAGGGACACGCATCCAGTGGAAATCCGGCGTAACGTGACCACTAACTTGTCCCCACACAAACACATGTTTCTGTAAGGCTTCTGTAAGGCTGTTTCACTAACGTTCTTTATGTATTATGAAGGATGTCAGACTGGTCAATCAGTGGCAGGGCTGGGCCCGGAGTCACAAACAGCGCATTTCGACTGACACAGAACCAAATCGTCAGAACACCGGCACGGTGCCGGTTCCCGAGCCTAATTAAGTAGGCTACTTACAATGGCATGAAAGACAGTCTGACATTCTGATTGTTGCTGGTTATTTCCTTAAAAAAACTACGACTTTATTCTCGTAATATTATGACTTCAATCTCATTAAATAACGACTTTAATCTCATAATTCGACTTTATTCTCGGAGCCTAATATTATGACTTCTTCTCAGTTATGACTTTATTCTCGAAATCTCCGAATTTTTTTTTCTTCAATGTAGGCCTATATACTCCGTCGTAATTTCCAATATATACACATTATAATAAAGATATGGGATATAGTCAAGATGGCACCACCCGAGTGGCAGCTGGTTACAGTAGTTCCGACCCCCCTTCGTGGATGTGCAGTATGTGGTTCTGAGCGAAACAGTGGCTAATGTGGCACCTTTCCTGATCTCATAATTATGAGATCCTGATCTCGTAATTATGAGATTCTGCTGCCAGCTCTTTACTGTTATTTTACATGAAAATTATTTACAGTGCACCCACTGCGCTGTCCACGATGTGTGACCTGTTCGGGGAGACATACAGGGAGAGTGGTGCACCTGCTGGCTCCCTGCCTACCCTTTTTGAAGAAGAGATGAAACGTTACCAGAATGAGACACCACTACAAGCCGAACAGGATCCACTCTTGTGGTGGAAAACTACAGGCGCACTGAAGTATCCAAACATTGCGGTCAGAACGGGTGTTTTCATCCGAGTGTCACGTTCATATTGCACCAGCAATAAGCATCTTATTTATATTTGTGTTTTTTTTTGTTTTGTTTTGTTTTTTAAATAATAATAAAAAAAAATCATATTTTTTTTTTTATAAAAATAATAATAATAAATTCAAATATTATTTGAACTCTGCTAAATTAATTCAAAGATATTCGAACTCAATTTCATGGTGCTTTTGACAGCCCTAATGTGTTTGGTGATATCAGCTTTGAGCCAGATCACCATTCCTCCTGAGTCTCTACCACGGTGCACTGTGCTCAGCTTAACTGAAGGCACTGTGATCTCATTGTATCCTGTGGGACATCGGGTAACTGCATCAGATTGACACCATGTTTCTATTCAAATCAAAATATCAATATCTTTTATGTTATTTAAGAAATCCAGGTCTGTGGTCTTAAGACCA